AGGTTCCTGGGTGAGAGGGGAGGATGCCAGCATTAGCTTCGAGAGCTACACGATAGTCCTGCATTTTACAAAGCCATGCAGGATTTCACCAACAGTTCATAAAAACGAGAGCCTTGCTAAAACATCTTGGTGCAAGTGAGTTACGTGGTGGTTGGGAAGTTTCATGAGTATCCTTTCAGAATGGCTTCAAAACTCGTGTTGTCCACTCACTACTGATGAGGGTACCTTAAACTCATGCAACTAATACCTCTGCGTGGCCCTCTGCTCTTCTCCTTCACTACAAAGGACTCCTGAGCAAGCACTCAGTTAAGTGAGCAAAGAACACACCAGGGCAGACCAGGGCAGATGACACTAAACTACAGACTCACGTGGCCATGTCCTCAATTGGAATAAACTGAAATAACTCCTCAAAACCAATGGTCTGCACTATTTACACAAAATGAAAAAATGTCTCAGAGCTTTGATCAGAATGCCAGATTATTTTTATAAGATCTTACTAATTAATTACAGTGACAACTGTAATAAATGAGAGCTGTACGATCAAGTCAAACAATCACAAGAACATAAATCTCCTGACTAGCACAAACTGATATATTGCAAATAACAGGTCTTTTTATCCCATCACAAATCTCATATCCCATACGAATCAAGCACCTTGATTTTGACATTATGCAGCTTCATTTTGAATCAGCAAATTTAAGCTAACCAGGATGTAAAAGCAATCAAACTAAGGACCTTTGCCACATCAAGTGGCCCTTGTAAGAGGTCATGATGTTTGTGCTACTGAAAGGAAAACCTGTCGCTTTTGCAATACATAAATAACATGGAAGTAATTGAGGACACGGGGGCTGAAATACACAACTGCATTCTTTCCACAGTTTTTATAATATACTCTACCCTGAGGACTTTATGCAAGTACTCTGTAGGGAATGAGAGGTTAGAGTTCATGTGAGCGTACAATGTTCAGAGGCGGTGCAGAAATCAAGTATTTCCTTAGAGAGTTCTTTTTAATTAATCAAATGAAATATGTTTGTAATATCTCCCATGCTAAACACTTTTGACATTTTATTCAAAAAGCCACACAATGGCTCTAGGCTGCAATAAATGCACAGTAACTCATGGAAAAGCTTGGAAGCAGAGGTTGGTAGAATACAAGTGTAATAGGGCGCTTTCAACCATACTGGGAACTGCATGTACAATATAACATCTATTCTTTATTTCAACTGTGACACTACAAGACTGGAACAGGATTTAAGCAGGAAAGAAAGCTGTATTCCCTAGAAAAAGAAACAAGCATAAAAATAGAAGCCCTGGACTGTAGGTGTCCACAAATGAGAGAGTTTGTGAGGTAAGTCTATGCAGCTGGATCTACAGTAGCAAATACACGAAGGCACAGACACAGGGCCTTAGGCAGCAGTGAGAGCAACACCTGTGCTGTGTGACTGTGTGCACAGCCTCCAGCGCAGGTTTGGCCTGGGCCAGCTCTGCCTCTCCCGGATGGTCCCAGCCACAGTTCATGGGATGTGCTGGGGACCAAACCCCACAGGGCACACACGATCCTATTAACAACACAGTTCCTTATCTCTCATCATTCAACAAAACCTTTGTATACGATTCTTCTATCTGATGTACACACTGTGACATGTAACAATTTACCACCCCTAAGGTCTTGGCAGATCTTGTGGTGAAGAATTCCAGTTTATCTGTTTAGCACTGATAATTCCCTTTAAAATAACAGGGCTTGGAAATTCAGCATCCTGGCATCATTGCCATTGGCTTTTGCAGGATCTCATGTCCAACAAGAATTCTGGCAGTTGCAATCCACAACTGAGCTGAGAGTGGACATATATTTAAAATCAGATTGCGTAAGCCTCAGTTTTCTATTTAGCTCCCCTGCAGCATTGTTAAAGCTCTCGAGAGCATCTGCAGCCGTGCCACCAAAGCTCTCTGCAGCCATCAAAGCTTTCTCAGGTTTGGATTCAATTTGCAAATGCACATATGTAGTTGAAATAATTGCTGCAGTTGCCAGGCCCATTTTGGCAATAACAATAAATGGTTTATAGGCAGTTTCAGAGCCCTGTCGCTTCCCATAAATGAAGGCATTTACGCAACAGTTTTGGTCATGCTGCTCTAAGATAACAATGCCAATATCCTTTTGGGAGATACTTGTGTGTTTTAGTCACTGCCAAGGTACCTCCTTTAATGATCTTCATCTGCAGCAGGGGAGTGTTAGGAAGCTTTTCTTAATGCCTAGCCTGAGTAACACTTTTCCACCTATTATCTGCTTTCCATAAGCTCCTGTCTGGATGGGAGAGCTCCCTTTGCATGACTAACTGCTAATGTTGAGGTTTTCTAGCAGTCTCTTTCTGATTGTTTTGGTCCAGATTCCAACCATGTCCTATATCAGAACTTAGTCAAGGCTAGAAAATTGCTGCAGTGGCTCTTCTGTTGTAGATCATTCTTAGATAATTTAATCATTTTGCTTTCCTTCTGAACCCTCCGCTCACAATGTACATTTGTTACTTTGTTTTATTTTATATAGAGTGCTGTGAATCTCACCTGCACAGCAAGTAGCTAATCCTCCACCTCAGCTACCTGAAAATCACTCAGAACCCTAAATTTAATATAATTGACTGAAAACAAAGCAAGCATATGTCTTCTCTTGTGGAAGGCAAAGCTCGGGGAGAAAGGCTTTTCATTTTTCATGAGATAACTAACAATCTCTTGGCACTTCAGATTCTTTTCTGCTAATGTGCAGAGTGAAGTATTCTTTGTGCATCTTTGAATCATTGAGAGCATTTCCAGAGTTTTACTCTGGTGGGACATCTGATGGCAGATGGCAGAACCTTCCAGGTTTCACTATTTTGCTTCCCCTCAGCCCTGTGTGCTAGGCAGGGCATCTGGACAGCTCTAAGTTCTGCCCACTCAAACTTACCCAACATAAGCCTCAAGTAACAAGGGTTCACTGCAAATTTTTTTTTCCCCCTCAAACACACTACAAAGAGATAAGAATCACCAGAAGAAGAAGCGGTTCAAGGGCACTGTTTTGAGTCCAGACCTTCATCTAGGAAGGAGTGGCTTCTACTTTTTTAGTTTTCCAAAAGGATTAATCCTTCAGCCTGAGAATTCCTCACGGAGGAAGACTAGAGGACCTCACAACTGAGAGATACGAATAACGTGCTGCTAATGCTTTATTTTCACCCACTGAAAAATGCATGATGTTCTAAGCTAAAGATGTATTCTCCAGGTCCTTTCCATTATGCTGTCAGTTGCAGAAGGCAAAAAATGTGAAACTGGCAACAAACATGGGAAAAAAAAAAGACTTCATCCAGGTTGATAGTGCCTGTCTTTTGCTGCAAATGTGTTGTGTGAAGTAGCAGGGAGTTTCCTCTCGGCAGTGAGCATCCTGCACATCCATTTGATGATACCACTCCTAGAAGTAGCTGGACTGGGTCCCAGAGTGGAAACTTGGCATTCGCCTACATGTTGAGGACAATGGAATCTGTTCCTCCTGCCACCAATGAGAAATTGGTCATATCTGTTGGCCCTTTTTCATAAGGGTGGACTCGTGGCTGGAAACTGCTGACGTGGAAACAGTTCGCATTTGCTCTGCAAGATCTTTAGGGCTTTATGCACAGCAACGAGCTCCTTGTCATTACCTTTTATCTACAGAAATGCCTGAGATGCCATTTATGCCACCAAGGAGAGACTCTAGCAGGGAACATGATCTTCTCATGCAGATGGTTCCTAAAAATGACAATATGTTCAAGACGAAATCTAGGGCAACACTTACGAAATGTTACTATGACAAATGGGCTGATGAAAAAGTAAATGGACTCCTGAGAGAGGTATAGGCTGAGGGACTGGAACACATGTGAGCTGCTGAGACACTGGCAGTGTACTCAACAAATTGCTTTGCTGTTAGTTCACTTCCAGAGGCTGTGCAAGTTACAGGGGTTTAACCTATGAAGTCATTTCTGGCTTGTCTTTTGGGGAGATAGGCATTCTATCTAACTGATTACATAGGAAGCCTACATTTAGACAGCATCGCTTCAGTTACATTCACTCTGACACTCTGGTAGCTCCAGGGTCTCTGACTTCCCCTTTCCGGGCACCTGGGGTGTCCTGATGCTACGCTGGTGTGAGGCAGGCACCACATACCCTGTACACTGCGATTTCCCTGGAAGACCACCCAGGCCATTTGCTCCAGAAAGGTGCAAGGGATGGTAAACCACCTGGCCCTCAGGACCTCACGAGATGCATGGCATGGTAGACCCCAGCGGCTTGCTTTAACACACACAAACTCGGGATTTGTATCTCTGAGGCTCTCCACAGGGGCTGACCTTAGCAACACTAAGGTTTGTCTTGTTGGCCCTTCAGGAAATGTTTATTCACACAGGCTTTTCCTGAAGGTGTTGTGTAAGGTTTTCTTAGATGAGGGATAGGGCATTTCAGTTCTATGGGTGTTTTGCCAACCTACATGTTGGTGACAACATATGCTATAAAAAGGAAGCAGATACCAAAATTACACTCTTGTCTGAATGTTTTTACTGACAATTGCTAGAAGTAGCATGTATGACGGCTCTCACAGAAAGGGTTTAAAGTCCCACTTCTTTATTTTGATCACCTGATTCACCCTGTAATTTGCACACACAGTCAGGGTCACTCCCTCCTTTCATAGACTGTTCCCCCTGTTTTTTGTCAGTGGGTACCATAGGAAACAATAAAACATTCCTAAGTGGGGAAAAAGAGCGACTACAGAAATCCAAATCCCTGGGGAAATGTGGGGCAGAAGTAACATCCCAAACATCTGACACCACCTCAGCACCCTGTTTGAAGCTTTCTAATATCTCTTCCCTCTTTCATGTCCCTTTTCCACGATGTGAGATTCGTGTACGTACACGTGTACTGAATGGTTCTCATTCAAAGCCCTGGTGTTCAAGGGCATGACAACCCTGGGAACAGCTTGCAGCGTAAAATTAGGCATTAAAAATTCCTACCATCAACCACTGGTTTTGGCTGGGAACTCTTCAGCCTCAGTGAGGGCCTGAAACGGGTCCGGTCATTGAAGCTCCAGCTCTTCTGAACCTTGGTGGGGCTCCCTTCCGTAGCAATGTCAGTGCTTGGTGACCGGCGATCCCCGACCGAAGACTGCCTGTTCTTAATGCTTTGACCTCGTGGGCTGGCCATCCGGACCCGCTCTTTGAAACTTAACTTTTGACTGTGAAGAAGAGAAATATATTTTATTCCACAGTCCTGCACTCCATCTTCTTCTATCATATATTATGCAAATAATTTCTAAAAATTCTAAGCAGTATGAATCAGTTAGTTCTGCACTTTTATTTTCATGGAATTTATTTCATCTGGAAAGGAAACTGATTTGAAATAATTGTTGTTTGATAGCAGTATTATCAATCACTGTCTGTCTTACAGGACAGAATAATGTTGTACTGGAAATTAAAATTAACAAATAGGAACAAATCTAAGCAAATGATTACAGATAAATCTCTATTTTTTATGCTTTGAATTTTTATCTGGCTTATTTCCATGTTAGTTTGTCCAGCTCAGTGCATTTCTGACCATCTCTACAAATAAACAAGGAAAAAAAAGTATTTATTATTACTGCATGCCATGTAGTTTTTTTTTTTAAGCAGGCAGGAATATTGCTGTTTGTTAGTACTCATGCTTTTTCAAGATGTGGCACTTTCCAACATTTCATATGCAGTTAGCGAACACTCTTATTCAGAATCCCTTGTTACGGCACTTGGACATGACAAAAACAAGAGTAACAAGACATCCAAGACAGGATTGTGATCAGTATGATGACTGATTAATGGAAATGTAATGTTACACTGTGTGCTCAATAAAGTCATTACCTGAGATTAAGCTGGGAACTTGTCACCTGCAGCAGGCACTTCTTTAGAGAGTTACCACAGCCCAGCCAAGCTAATGATTGTGACTCCTTGATCAAAGGTGGCCTGTGAGCTTACAGTTGGCCAACAGTAAACTGATCATTTTCCTTCCTGTGCTCCTGACCTTCCCACTTCAGCCAGCTGAATGTGACATATGTAGAGTTTCTACTTTTTTGGTGCTTAAATTACGTTTCTTCACATCTGAAAATATATGTAGGAGCTGTTGTGGTCACCCCAACTATCCGCATATATCTGTGATTATCTAGCACTTCTTTTTTGGTTCTTGTTTCCTTCTGGCTCTTCTTGAAGCAGAAGGCACAAAGGGAAAAGAAAAACTTGCTTTGGAAACAAACACACGTTTTATCTATGAGGTTAAGTTCAACTACTTGTACAAGGGGAAGGGTTTTCCTGATCAAACGTCAACCCTATTCTTGCAAGGGAAGAGATGGAACAGGTGATGCTTTAGGCTTACCACATGGAGTAGGATTTGGGGGGTTCTTTTAGACCACCTTTGGCAAAGACAGTCTGCCTGAAAATTATATGTCAGTCTGAAGTTAAAGCACTTTCTAGTTTCCCCACAGTCTTTGCATTTAACTTGGGAAGGTCACTCAGGGATGTTTTTCAACAGAATCAATTTTTGCAGATAATTAGCTAACGCTAAAATGCATTATTCCTTTCTTAAATGTTTAACCAACTGTGCTCTGAAAAGAGAGTGTTAATATGTAATTATATGAAATGGAATGTAATTATAAATTTCTGTGGCTGTGAAATGTTGAGATAATCAGATATCTTTTCCAGGCATAGCAGAGCAGAGCACAGCATTTCAATCTGAATACAGACATCACTGAGACTTGAAAGGATGCAGTTTGTTGCAGGCAAAGAACATGCTGCGACACTTATAATGACCTAAGTTTCAAGAATGCTATAAAATAAGCATGACAACAGAAAGATTATTAGATAAATGTGTTTCTATATGGCATGTTGAATCACTTGAAGGAATACCTTTAGTATAATTTCTCAATCTAGCCCCCTTCCTCCCTTGCCCAGAGTAGGCAATCGTTGAAACAAACACATGATGGTGCTGGAAATGTCATCTCTTTCCATTGCAAATTGTTACCCACACCTGCAGGACTAAACCTTGTTTTGTTTTCAATGCAAAAGATCCTCAGAACCAACTGTTCGAAACAAAAGCAAGTTCTAAAATGTATCTCTCAATGAAAATTACATTTATGACTTAATTGCATTTCAGTTCTGGAATCTTTTGAATCGTTGGATTTAACGAAAATATAATCTAGGAAGTATTTATTAGCCACATTATTGCATGTTATACAGCATGAGCAACACAATCAAAATGAACTTCTTACAGGTATTATTTCTAGGCATGTGTCCTACATGCTGTATTTACTCATCTTAGGGCTGAAATTTCAGGAACAGTAATTCAAGCATGAAATCAAATTATTAATTTATTGACAAATCTTACAAGTAAAAAAAAATCTGGACAGCTCTCTTCCTCTTGGACTAATTAGCATGAAAGGAAAATCAATAAGCTAGTCATAATTCAGATTAGTATGAGTCATAATTTTTCTTTTATTATCGCAGTAACTCCAAACTAAAAATGAAAACAGGAAAATGAAAAAAGCACACGTTCTTATGTCAATTAACTTGGACTGATGTAAACAGTGTCTGCCTTTAAATGACTTGGGCACATAGTATAGGCTCATTTCGTTTACAAAAACTGAGTAATACACAATGGCTACTTAACCTGAGTATCTTTAGTTCTCCAACTCAAAGCAATGAGCCAATGGTGAAAGAAACAGTAGACACTTCATCTGTACTAGAGACATTTGCAGAATTGCGATGTCGAGAATGAAAATATTAATTCAAAATGCTGACTTCACACCTGAAACCTGCTGTTTGCAGTAATGGCAGTGTAATTGCATGCCAAGGACCCATGCTGAGAGTGCTGAACCATAATGGGATGGAGGGTTTGGAAACTCTGGTTTGGCCTTTGAGTTTCTCCAAAGACACCAACCGTAGCAGTTCCCCACTCTTGGATTGCTGTTCCTACCCTGAGACTGGTGGGAAATGCTCAGGAGTGGCCTGTTTCCAAAGGCCCTGGGTCCTGCTCGACTCCCTGGCACAGGCAAAACTTGCACTGCTGGCAATGTGGGGAATTCAGGCCCAGGCCCAGGAGAAGAAAACTACTGTCCTCGGAAGCACCAGGTCACAAGACTCTTCTATACGTCCTACAGGCAGGTAACCTATCAGAAGCAATCACTGAAGCTATGCATTTTTCAGGCATCTTGACCATTTTTTTCTCGCAGTGAAAGTATAGTTCCTGGCTTCTGGTGGCCTGTTGCAATAGAAGTGGAGACCATAGACCATTTTTATGACATTTCAAATGTCTTTGGACCTTCTTTTTCACACTCGAATTATCGGCCACTGAAACTTTTGGGCCTTTTACTCTGAATTTAGTGTTGGTTGGATCAGCACTGTTCCCACTAACAATCCTTTACCTCCTGCAGGACTTAGCAGGACTTAGGACTTAGCCAATTACATTTTTTCTCTTCCTCTCTTCTCCTTTCTTTAAAATATTTGAAGGGAATGCCTTGAGTTAATGTGAGTCTGTTAATACCCATGGAAATTCACAAATTCCTGAAAATCACCAAACTGAACTTGAACACTGGTCCAGAAGGCAGAACCACAGAATCTGAAAAATGGATGTCTAATGCTTTCTGCAACACAGGGACTTCCAAGTCAAGCCTAATAAGACAAGAATTTGAGAGAATCACAATTGTCCCTGCTCCTCTATATATTATTTTAGATTTGTGTCTTTCTATTATAGATCTTTTCTGATTGGCATTTTTTTCTAGCTAGTTTCTATACACAGTTACTTTCAATCGCAATCTTCCTTAGTAGTGGCGCTCTCTTTGGCCCAAGTGATAAACTTCTCTTGAAGGCGGCAGGCTTGGGAATATTTTCACAACGATAATGCTGGAGCTTTGAAGCCCATTTCAGTGGAGATCAGTTACAGCTGGAACCTCGGAGGAGGATGCTAGTGATTTCTCTCTAATCTTCTGTCTCATGAAAGATGAGCTGTAGGACCTGACCACTCGTTCTTCCTGATCAGGACATGCACCAACCATTCACTTCCCTCTGACAGCAAAGGACTTCGTATGATTTCCCCCCCTCCAAGTTTTGTCTTTTCCGTCAGTGACTGGTGAAAGAATTGTGTTTACCGACACTAGAGGTCAGTGTAGCTTCACTGCAGGAGCACTGAACGCTACTCTGTGACGGATCAAATGACTAGACTTGATTTTATTTTAATTGATAAGTGCTGATGAACATTTGTTTTTCCTGCTTGTACTTATAGCTCTGTCTATCTTGCATGGCCCGCCTTACTATAATTTTTGGTTAGCTGTGCATCTCTTTGGTTCTCCATCCCACTCCTCTGTTTCCCTATCTTCCATTACATTTGTCATCACATTCATTCTGTGCCCTGCTTCAATCTCAGACTTGCAGCACCTTCTCACCAGTTGCAATTTATGATCTGTTTTTCAGCTTTTCAATATCGGCAATCAAAAATAAATATTAATTTCCAGGAATCAATTTTCAGTAAATATGAATGTCCAAGTCAACATATGACTTCACTGAAATTAAGCTAAATGGAATTAAGCTAAATAGGACTGTAAAGTCTAACGCCTGAAGTTCAAATGTTTAAGTCTTCTCCACCAGTCTCACGCTAGAAGCATGAATCCAAGAAACATGGTGTTATATCTCATACCTTCAATGAGTAATGACATGAATTTCAAGACATAATGTTTTAATTTTCAAATAGAAAAAAAGTTATATTTTTGTGCATTTTTTATTTTTCAAAACAGTTTCTGATCTATAGAAACTATTTTGCTTCATTTTTATCATCAGTTTGTACTTTCATTGATTTTATTTTTTAATATGGAAAAATTGTAATAAATGTTAGTTGTAAATCAAGAGATTTCTCCCTTAAGATCCCTTTAAGATCTCCTTAAGATCTAGGAATTACCATTTTTGGTAAGAGAGACAATGTTTCAACAGAATTCAACTGAAGCAGATGTTGTTTTCACATGCATTTCTCTACCTTGTAAACATAGGATGCAGGCACAACTTCTAAAGCTGTGTCCAAGGGGATTCTTCTCAATAGCAACTATATGTTTTAAAAGTTGATATGGCCTAGCATGTTATATCTTAATATTCCTTGCCAATTATTAGTCATGTAACAGAGAACCCAACTATTATGGCTATAAAAATCCTCTTGGACTTGGGGAAATTGCGCTATCCAAATATTCAACCACTGTTGCAGGTCTTGTCAGGAAAGCACATTCCAAAAGTTCAAGTCTCAGGCAGAGGTGGAAGATGGGGCTGAGCAAACCATGGCGTGCTGCAATTGTGCAACTGGGTGAACTTCAGAGAACAGTAGTATTGCCATTGTATTAATGTCATTGCAGGCAACAAGCAAGGAGGGGAATTACAAGCATTGAGGGAAAAAAATAAAAAAAGAACATGAGGAGTCCTTTGAAGAAGAAAGGAACTTGAAAGCACTGAGAAGGGGAAGTCAATGAATCATGCACCTGATGTTACTTGGCATTCTCAAACATCAAGTGAATAGGCAGGATGCTGAATACCTATGTTTCCGAGGGGTGTACATCCTGAAGAGCTTCTGTTTATTACTACAAAGCTTACTGGGAGTGAGGGGAAATAGAGGACCACGTTACTAAGCAATCTGCTACCAGGTAGGGGTTAGGTTTTCCAAATCAAGTTAGATTCTTGATCGCAGGTTGTTTCTTTTTTCATGTGGTGCATGCAAAGATAATAATTTACACTAAATCTACGTTTAGAAACAGAGATGATACAGAAGTATGTGGACAGAATTCCAGAGTATAATGTACTTGAGTGTCTCAGAGGGATGATGATACCCCTTTTTCCCCAAGTTCCTATTCTAGCAAAACTCAACCAGATTTCACCAGAGAAAGTTGCCTGAGTAGCTGATCCTTACTCAGGCCCACTATTTATTTAAAATGATAAAAGAAGCCTGCACTAGATGGCTGAAATAAGTTCTCTGCAGAAAACCAATGTGTAGAATACACAGAGCTTAAAAACGCTTGTGTTCTCAATGTGTTGTAAGATTCATCAGTCTCGAGCCGGTTCCCTGCACAGAAAGAACTTCAGCCACCATGTGTAACTGAGCAGAAATAAACAGATATAGATATAGTGAAATACAGATCAATATCTATAGATTTATAGATACAGTTAATTTAAAATATAGGATTATAAACTGCTTGCAGAGCTCTGACAGAGTCAGAGTCCAGAGCCAGCCCCGTTGCAGCAAGGAAAACACCAGAAAGGCTGCCATTAATTAGTGTGATAAATGATTAAGTAGAACACATGTGATCTTTTGAGAAACAGAAAATAGAATGTGTTGAACATATTTGTATTAAAACGAGCATGAAGCTGCAGCCTCAGCAGCACAGTGCTCTTTCTTAAATACCCAGCAACCTAATTTAGCTAGCTAAAGAAAAACTTCAGGTCTCTATAAATGCTGAAGCACAAAAATTCCTGTTTGTAAACACAGAATTCATTTTAATAGGTAATAAAAATGATCTTTTACCTAAAGCAAGAAATGTCTTTTTGCACTATTACTAAAATGGAGTAAAGAGCAAAAAGCGTGTTCAGAAAGCAATCCAATGCACTGCTGGTATCAACACATCTTAATCTGGAGTGAAACAAGCAGCAGCTTAGTTAACACAGCATCCCATGCAAGTCACTCAGCATTGCAGTAAGAAAGAAGTTAAACAGTCGAGGACAGTTACCTCTAAGTACGTTGCAGAAGTTTTTGCATTTACACTTTTACCACAAAAGACCACATACATGACATGGATTTTAAATGACACAAACATACTGCAATATATCAGCATAAGAATTATAAACAGCCATAGACAAAAACACACCTTTTTAAAAAGCACTGAGTGGCCTGTAGGTCGTTTACTGTAGACCAGAATCTCAGAAAAATGTTAAAATTGTGGATTTTCTAGGAAAATGCACACTGCTGTTTCTTTTACAAAAGCATAGGTTCATCTTGACTTTATAAATGCAATTTTTAATAGGCTATTTGGTAGAAGTCACTGGAAAACAAGTCTTTAATATTGTGCTAACAGGATATTGTGTTAACAAGTTCGTTTTTATACCTACCCTAATACACGCTAATACACAGCAGTTACAGCACACAATAAATAAGATTTTCTGAAGAGTGAAATATAAATTGAAAAAAAATTGCTAAATCATTGACTTATTTTAAAATCACAATCGTTATCACTAACAGGGAGCCTCCAATGTAATTTTCATAATTGGCTGGGTGTTTCTCACATCTAGCTCCTACTTCTCATAAGTACATTTGTCTCTGCAAGTGCTCACTGGTGAAGCTGGGAACACATGGCCCTTTCTCAAAGCTCTGCTCTGGAGGTGGTAACGTCAGGAGATGCACAACCACTTGCTGCCAGCTTGGGTCTCACCTTTCAAAAGGCAAAGGTGCCTTGTTACTGTTGGAGGAGTGCGGACAAGAAGGTTTGACGGAGCCGTCATGCTTATACGAGGTGGGTCTTGGCTGGCAGGCTGTGGGGGTGATGTCTACGAGCTCCCACAGGACGGGCGCTGCGGACGAGCAGGTAAGCTGCTTGCCAAGCAGAGCAAAGCCCATCATCCCGAGGGACTGCTGTCCTGGGAAGAGCCAGGATGCGCCAAGGGAAAGGGGCCCTCGGTGCCTGCAAGGCCGCACGCCTCCAGGGCAGGCCGCACGCCTCCAGGGCTGTCCTCACCCTGGAGCATCCCTCGTGATGCTGCATCGTTCTTCCCCAGAGCCGGAGCCTGGGCAGACTGTGCTGCTCCTCATCTCCCGTGCTGCACCGAGAGCAACGTTAACACATACAGCTAAAAAGATAAAACCTGGTTTTCCCACGAGAAAACTGAGACAAAGAAGCAAATCCCTGCAGCGCTATCCTAACAGTGTAAGCTAAATACAAGTGAGATCTGTCTTTATTATCAGTAAAGCACTACAATTCATTGAGCCTATTGTGCAGAACCATTAAAAACTCTTTAAGGAGAAAAAGATTTAGAAAATATAAGAAATAAAAGAAGCTACAAACCTGCTAGAAGCTTCCCCTTGTTCTTTTCTTCAGGTCAGGGAGTGGGAGGGAAAAACATATTTGTTATGCAGATAGTAATCACATTACTTAGTTACAGATGATGTTAGATATATGCTAAACTGTAAATGGATATGTTAAATAAAGTAGCGTACAACACACACATTACAGGGCAACCACAAAAACATTCAAGCAAGACTTGTAACTACAATGCTTTTGAAAAATAAACTTTTCAGTTGTTTTAACACATGCATAACATGCTTTGTACATACCACTGCAGACTGAGTTGGCAAAGCACTTAGGCAAAACGCATTGCTGACACATACATAACAGAAGGCTGTAGACTCTTATTAGACAAGACTCTTATTAGATTTTATTTCTAGTAAATAAAATGGTTTAATTTTAGGATATTGCAGAAATAGGCTTATTTAAATTAACAGTTAGATGCACTTTTCGAGGGACATGTTTTAGAATTTTTTAGGTGGGATACAGCTTCATTGCTTATGTAATTATTTATATAATTTCATATCAATTTATTTATACAAATGTTGCCTTCAACCTGTTTGTATATGGCAAAAGAATTGCTCACTTATTAAAATCAATATTCCATGTAACTTTTAATCTAAAAGCTCCTTTTAGTTTGAAGCATTTTGGAATTATACTTGTGGTAATGGATTACTTAAGGCTCTGTTCTTGTCAACTCTTTGAAATTCAAAGATCAGCTTTGGGTACCCAGCCAAACCTTTATTTGGCTGAGCTTTTTGGCACACGATTACCTTTTTACTGTCATGTGGATGTTCATCACCCAGTTTTGGGAGAAACCACTAATTCTCTTGAACTGTCTGCAATAACAACAGTTAGGACGCTTATCACAGCTTTCCTATAAGACTCTCATTGCATTTCTTTTTGATCTTTATCTAATACCTTTTATTCTCTGACTTGTGCCCTGTATAGGATCAATCAATTTACTACCTTCTGCTAAATCTTATTCTAGTGAATAGTAAACTAGTGAATTGTCTTGGACTACCAGTGCTCTGTGAATTTTCAACCAAACAAATACATAAATAAAAAAATACATCTATGTACTTTTCTTGTTTGTCAAACTGGGGCATCAAGTCTTTTAGGCTACCTTCCACTGGCTGTGTGTATAATGGGGGGGGTGATTCCCCCTAGGGAGATACCGAATGCCATGATCTCCTCCCTAGACTTATACATAGCTACAGTCCTCAGAATATAAAATACTAATAGAATATAAAGAAGAAGACTATAAAAATACTAATGAACTTAAGGAATGAGCTCCGTATTAATATTATAACTTTTTCTTTGGTGAGAATTTGGTACTGGGCTAACAAATATATTGATTTGAGTTGATAAAGGAGAAATCTCACGCAAATGTCTATTTGCTCAGAAGATTGTGGATCCTAACAAGTGACTAAGTGACTAGACGAAGAGATGTGCATGCCGTGGCACAAATGACCGGGGACGGAGCCTCCGAGCAAGTCCGCTTTTGGGCACGCAGGACAATTTCAGGGCAAGAGGAAGGGGCACTTTCCATTGCCCACCCCAGCCCAGATGCCCATCCAGAACATTTAGCAGGAGAGCAGCTGGTGCTGAGCCCCGGGAAGCAGGGACTGGGGAGAGGCGAGATGGGGACGTGCAGCGGGTGCGTTCGGGGCACTCTCTGGCAGGGAGTTGGGCTCCCTGAGATCAGGGACCTTCACCCCTGACCTTCAATGGGCACAAACTGGTGTTTATACAGAGTGACATGGATTTATACCAGAATTTGGCTCAGGATCAAGATTGAAGGGAGTCCGTTTTGCCCAGCAATAAGCAGTACTCCCCAGGAGATGTGTTCTTCTATAAGTCTGTTATAAATAATAATACATCTTGACTGAGAGCATGCAGGAGGAATTAGTGCAACTTCAAAATGGAGACTGTGATTATTAGTGGGTTCTGATTGCTGCTAAAGAGCTGCTGCTGTGGAACATGGATAGTAGGAAAATGTTAACCTTGACATAGGAATTTTTGTAGCAGAGAATATTTCTAATGCCTGTGTTCAGTGATACATCTCAAGATAAATGGAAATGGGTGTTTGACCCATTGTACCAGGCTCCTAGATAATACTGCCCTGATTTGTTAGTTGAAATTTTTAATGAGAGGACTTGAGAAGACAAAACAAGACAAAACAGACAAATACTAATTCTCTAAAAGCTTGAACAGACATCAAGAACAGCACCAGCTGCCATAGTTGTACCTACTTTGTAGGGCTGCAGGTATGCAAGGCCTTCAAATGAGGCTTCCAGGTAGCAATGGAAACCGATTTCTCATCAGCCGCATAACTACGCCATACACACTACGTGCAGGATATATGACAAAAAAGAAAAACAAGGCAAGAGGGAGCAGGGGATGAAACAAAAAATTGAAAAGCAGATTAGTAACCAATACAAGTTATGGCTTTCTTTTATCATTCATAGCACTGATACATGCCTGAGGGGAGGAAGAATACTTTCATAATATCGCCAGGTGGCTGTCAGGTTTGTTCGGCTGGCATCAGTAGAATAAAACCGCCAAGTAGCCTGGTATGGGGAAACAATAGAAAAGCACAAAGGAACCAAGAACATGAAGTGCCAATGCCACCACATTGAGTATGGAGAGAGCTGAGTTCGCTCAGACTGGGATGTGAGCTATCACATCGACACAGAAAATATTGCTACCAGTCGAAACCTAGCCACACTTTGGTGCATCGTAACATGGTAAAGTGAGAGGTACTGGCCATGTGAAGTGCTAAAAGATACTCAGCCCATAAAGGAGCTCAGTAAGCAATGCAGTGATTTAGGTGTGAAAATCCCATAGGGGAAACCCACACACGCGTGCAGTCTGAGGTAAAGAAAGTGTCATAATACGTTTTGTAAACAATACTGAAAATCAGACATAAAGTAGTTAGAAGAAAAGTGAAGTATTCTCTGTGGTTTGAAACTTGCTGAATGTTTGAGACTGAACTAAATGATCTCAAAGGTGAGACCAAAGCAGAACACTGAATTTAGATTTTACCATTTAGATTTATAACTGCATGTGGATAGTAAGACATATCCTCATTTCAAAAACTGGTATGGTTTCCCTGATGTCAGCATAATATATTAATATGTACTAGCTGAGCATCTGTGCTGACACCTTTTAAAGTTTCCTAGATAAATTTCCTTTCTTCATTCCTTCCTTCCTTCCCATAACACACTCTCCTCCTATAGTGAGGCTATGTAGGCATAGACATAGGCATACAGGTATAGGTATAGGCATGTATCAACCAAAACCCAACAGGTGTCAGGTGGTGATCCTGGTTAACTATTATCTCCAGGTCCTTGACTCTGATATTTGTGGCATCAGCCTGGATGAGAGAATGGAATTCTTAGATTCGGTTCTTCTTCCTTTTTTTTTTTTTTTTTTAACTCTAGCTGGTGATTTATATTTGTATGAAGAGAAACATAGAGTCCAGTTCCCATTTAGCATCAAATAGATGTTAAAAATGCAAAAATTACAGCAGCATGGAAAAGCCAGAGTAGTCTTAGTATTATCCCCATTCTACACTAATCCTAAACCAAATACATTTAAAAAATGTAGACTCCTCGAACTAGCATTTGCTTTAAAACTATTCAGCTGCAAACAGGCACTTCCTGTTGCTGCCATTGAACTTGCAATAAAATGAAAAAATATTACATGTATTGCCATGTTATGCTGGATGTTTCAGGGTAGAATTAAGAGTTAAGTTAATGAGTTTGGCTTCCTATATACTTAAAACCATTGCATGTCACACAGACATCCAGCTTTGAGCTTGACACCATAGGTATATCTGTAAAAATACATCTAGTCTTCAGCAGCAGATGAAGGAAGTGCCACTTACTTTATGAGCTGTTCCACTGGTTAATCATTCTCACTGTGCATTATTTTTAATATGAAACTGTTTGGTTTCGGCTTATAGCCAGAGATATTTTTTATGCTTCCATCTGCTACATTAAGTAGCCCTGCAGTTTCCAGCATTTTCTCTACAGACTTCTACGTTCAAATAATATTCACACTAAATATTTCTTACGAGCTAAACAAAACAGGAGAAGTATGTCTGTATTATACAGTTCAGTTTTAACCAGTGATTCAACAGTGTACAGTGGTAACATCAGCAGCCTCCTACTTACTGCCCTTCTGTTTCTTTAGCTAAGGGCTGTAGCAAGACTCGTCAGAGCAACATGTGAAGCTTTTCATCCTTCCCCTCTGCTTCTCCTTCTCCTCTGCTCTTCTCACCTGCGGTCAGATCCTTTCCAGAGGCACCATTACTTGGATATGTGCCTGTACTGATAGCCTGATTTCACTGTTCCTTGATGTAGTTTTGTATTTAGTATGCTAAGGATTTGGTTGGAATCCTTCCAGCCTGATCCATCCAGGCCACTCTTGGGCTCCCAAATCCCAAACTCATCTTTAACACTCTGCCAGGCCTTCTGCCATCAGCAAGTATTTCCAGCAACAACTTCACATTAATTTCAAGATCACTAATGAATATGTTGAACAACCTTTACCCTTCACACCCTTGGGATCCCACCATGAGTGTCTTCCATTCATGATGATTCTTCCCACTAGTCACTTTTGGAGACTAGTTGGTCAGCTGCTATTAATCTATTTAGCAGGTTGTTTTATAAATATTTTGGTTGCACTGTCATATGATAATAAAATGAGCTACCTATCGAAGTGTAAATCTATTATACCTGATTTCTCTTTCCACTTAACTTTAATTTCAAGGAAGAATCAGAGTGTCTGAAAAGATCTGTTTTGTTAATTCTACAGTGTGCTAGATACAAAATGAATTGATTTGTATTTATTAATTATTCCAATAAATGTTAAATATTAATATTTAACAATATTAACAATTTAACCATCACTGAACAAAAATAATGGAAACATTAATTTGAGGAGTGCTTCAAAGACAGATTTGCATCTGTCCTGAACTTATAATGGAACTCTAGTATGTTTATGCTCAGCTATTTTATTTCGATTTATTTTTTCATTTTTATCAGAATGAAAAAATAGCATATGGGACACATACAAAGCACTCACTATTCCAAGAAAATAAATCAAGATGTTAGAAGACTATTTTCCTTATAAATTACATATTAACTAGCTATTGCCTATTAGGCTAACTATTAACTCTAAATTCAATTATCTAAATTCCCTTCTAATTTAACTATAACTGTAAGTTAAAGAAAATAAATGCTTCAAAGCAGCTGTTAAAACTAGCAGATATCATGCTGCTTTTACTTTTTTCTATTTGCTTTTATTTTTTTTTCTAAAATGTCGATCTGTACCATTCTGTTACTATTGCAGCTGAAACCATTTCAGACAGTCTCAGACATTTCACAATTGCTTCATTTCTACCTTCTAATTTGAATGTCATTGAAAGCAATTTTCTGTACAGGACACTTTTCATTCTCACCAAGTATATCACTCTTGGAGCACTCTCAACACTTTAGTAGTGAAAAGTAATGTAATATAGGTAAGTCAGTATGCTGTCAGTCCAGTTGTCTAGGGATGAATTCTGTATTTCCAAGTAATTCACTAACTGCAATGAGCAAGAAGGCATGTAGTTGACATCCTCTACTTGGTCCCTTGGTTGTGGATAGGACTTATGAATGTCACTCAGTAATGCTGTATACAGAATTAGAACCACATGGCAGTTACAAGAGAAAGAACAAAGTTATTTCATGGAACCATTCAATCCATCAAACATTATTTCCACAAAACTCTCCAACCTGAAATGATAAAACTGGCTTCAAACATGTATTTAAATCCCCACAATTATCTTTTAATTGATTTCATATTTACCTGAATTAAACTAGCAGCTGGATTCCTTCTTTTCTCAAAGTGTTTCTGACGATGCTGTTCCTGCACTTTTAATGCAAATCCTGAGCCAAGGATGCCCTGCAATACAATACACCACTTTATCATTACATAGGTATCTTTTTTGGTGTTTTTTTTCAATGCATGCCCATGATCAATTGCAAAGGCTTTGTGAGGCTTTGTTTGATATGATTACTTCAGAAAACACATTTATTACATTACTTGGTGTAATGGGAGGGCTAGTACACAGCAATACAGGAGACTCCCTACTGAAATGAGCCCATCTGTGGCTCTACCACTGGCAGCTCATCCTAACCATCACTCGGGCTTGTGCTACACAATGTTGGTGCTCAGTCTTTTGCTTTTAAAAAAGTTAGAATATGCCTTGCTTAACAGATTAACATTGTTTCCTCTCACTCCCATCTACATAATCTTCCCTGTTCCTTCAACAGGGTATGAAAAAAGGCTGATGCTAGAATCTTTCCCCTTTTGGTTATTT